TTTTTTGATTCTTTATAGAAGACAAAATCATATTATAATAAAAATATCATGACACAATACAGATATAACAAAATGTTGGTTGAGTTATTCAAATGTGACGTCCGAAAAAGAATCCGGCCTATCATGTAACAAATGCCTCAAATTAGAATTAGAACGATTCAATTCAATGAATTAATGCAGATAACCTCTAGATTTAATCTTCGTGAAGAAAAAAAATTCGTTTTTGTTTTTTTAAACCCAACATAAATTAGCAGCACAAAAACATTGAATGAGAAAGACATTATAACCTGTATATATACCACCTCTCCCTAGAGTGTGGGCTGGCGGTGCGGATACGGGTCAGCCCGCAGCGGTGTGGGCTGAAGTAGCCCGCACTTTGGCGGGCTAGCAAAACCGCCAAGGCGGGCTGGCGGGCTAGTCCGCCGGCCCGCCTAACTTTTTTTTAAAAATATTATTATTTGTATAAGTTTGAGCTTAGTTTATAATGTTAAAATTGGACTTGGAGTTTTAAACTTAAGTAATGAGTTACAATAAAATAATGTGAGGATTAATTTATAATTTGACAAGATATTTTAGAAAAATTAATATATATTTTTCTAAATAATTAATTTGACTATTTTTCTTATCCAAATTAATTAAGTAGATCTTTTATGTATGTATTACATATGCAATTACATGGATGAGAAGATGTAAATATAAAATTTTGGGGTTAAAATCCTCCAATTATGTTGTATAATATATTAGAAATTATATAAAATTAAAAATTAAAAAAAAAAAGCGGGCTAGCCGGCGGCAGAGCGGGCTGAAAACGGTGCGGGCTGGAGTAGCCCGCACCTTGGCGGGTTGGCATTTTGTCAACCCGAACCCGCCATTTTTGGCGGGCTGGTGCGAGTCCAGCCCGTATTACCAACTCTACCTCTCCCATATAAACTGCTGCAAAGGTAATCCATTAAAAAAAAGTAGAATTAATATCATTATTGATCCTTATAGCTTTATTCAATTTTGGTTTTGGTTTTTATAGTTTCAAATCGTTGGTTTTAATCTTTATAGTTTCACAAGGATTTGATCTGATTTTAAGTATAGGGGACAGAAATCGTAATTCATTAAAAATATAGAGCCCATTTGTTAAACTCAGATAAAAAATTTATGAAACTATAGAAACTAAAACGATTTAAAACTATAAGAACTAAAATCAAAATTCGATCAAATTATAAAAACTAATAATGACATTAATTCATAAAAATAATAGCATCAAATGAGAAGATCCGTTTGGAAAATGTGATACTTTAGCCATCAATCGATATATATATATATAGTTATCCTCAATTTTGAATTAGGTCTTTTAAGCTTTTTTTATTTTTATTGGATCCTTTAACTTTCTACAGTTTGAACCATTGATCCCCGCCGTTAAATAAGTATTAATACCGTTAAATGCTTCCGGGAAGAAGCGCCGAACGTCTTAAACATCTTCTCTACTGACCAGGGCGACTTTGTTTGGAAGTCTATTGCTTGACCCGCCTCTTGCCAAAGGGATAACTCTCGTTATATGCATATAATGATTAGATGATTATTACAGAGATTCTGCGGTCATATATTATAAAATTATACATATAGTGAAGACTCTGAGAAATCTATAATCTATTCTTGAAGGCATGGGGAACTGCAATAGTACTCTAGATCATTATTGGTAGCCTTTGTGTTGCTAATGAACACTTTTAGTCTACTCTGTTTTTCTATTACCAAAACAGGGGAAGCTTGAAAAGAATGGTCAGTACAATAATAGGCAAATGACATAATATTCTATTTTACTCTCAGATTCCCCCCGTTCAGATTCTCACTGCTTCCTTAAATAAATAAATAACGAATGGAGGAATTAAAATAAATAGGAGCAAATGTTGCTCTCAAGTGTTGCACATAGAAGCGGAAGAAATAGGAGAGACAATGTCAAGATAAGCATTGGTCGCTTTTGAAGGAAAGGGATTGGATAAGACGAGACTGAGTCTAAATTATCCGTTCAAGACTTTAAATGAAAAGAATCACAGTAGCAATGAGAATCTTGTAATTTTTGTTTTTGAAAAGGAACAAAACATGTGGAAGGGATGATATATAAAATGTAGAATTGTTGGTGATTACTCCCCAACTACCTAACCAATCAACCTCATTCGACCTCGTCACGGCTTGTCTATGGTATTGTCGTTCGAAAGATTTAGAACTAGACCCACAAGACGATGTTCGTCTCATGTTCCTGGCTAATGCACGCATGGGACGTGATAGATTCAACCCTCCATTACCAAAAGGGTATTATGGGAACGCCGTGGTGTTTCCGACGGCGGTTTCGACCGCCGTCGGAAACGCTGTGAGAGGCTGTTGGAGTATGGTTTGGAGGTGGTTAGAAAAGCAAAGGATGTAGTGAATGGTGAGTATTTTCACTCTGTGGCTGATCTATTAGTGAGTAGAGGACGACCCAGTTTCACAACAGTGAGGTCGTTTATTGTTGCAGATTTTTCTCGTCTTGGATTTAAAGATGTTGACTTTGGGTGGGGCAAGGCTGTGTATGCTGGTCCTGCTTTGAGTGGGCTTGGCACTTTTCAAGGGTTCACTTTCTTCGTTGGATATACGAATAGTAAAGGTGAGGAAGGAAGGATTATACCTATTTGCCTGCCGCCAGAAAGGATGGAGAAATTTGCCAAAGAGTTGGATCTCATTCTTAACGATGTTGACCACTCTGCCATTGATGGTTAATGCGTAGATGAGTGCAAAAATGCCGTCAAGTATTTGCGTTGTTATTGTGTTTATATATATGTATATGTATATGTATGCACGTCGTATGTATGTTCATGTTTGTTTATGATGATGTCCGTTGTAATGCATTGAAGCTGTTTTGCAGTAGCACACCCATGAAGTACGGTAGTAGAAAGTGCCTTTATTAATATGGGAGTTTTGCTTAGCAAACCATAATTTTCCAGTGAAATTGTTGCTAGTTATGTTAGATTGAAGTTTACCAGCAGAAATCCCAATCTGACTCTGTGACTGGCGGTTGATGGGATGATGATTGAACCAGACGCATACTTTTGATAAGCTTGAAACGGTTTGGTTGCTGGTAATCGGAGTGATGGGATATGGAATCATGACTAATTATAATTTTTGATATTTCATATATTTATCATTATTAGAAATATTTGGTTTTAATTTTGATTGATTGCTATCTTGTATTATTAATTATCATTTTCATTTGATTTTAAGATTTCTAGAATATTATGCATTTAATTTCTAGAGTTAGATTGAGGCCTATAAATAGAACCTCAACTTATTTGCGTTGTACACATGTTTATTTTAATGAGCATATTGTTAAGTTTCTCCTCCTCTGAGTTCTCTTCACCTTTTATTCTTTTGATTTCTCCCTCCTTTCTTGCCGTCCTCCTTTCCCTTCTCTTTTCCTCTTTTCTCCGGAGACATTATTGCTTCTGTGTATGGTCAGTTTGGTCATCCATATATGCCTGGGGATGAAGCCCTCTGGTGTCAACAACTTGTGAAAAGAAGAAAATATCTGACCAAGTAAGGCTTTAAAAGTTTGTCCCATAATGGCTACTACCTTTGTTGTTTGATCCATTATCTTTGAAAGTAGTTTGATCCATTAGTCGATGTTAGTGGATAATTATATTGTCACACCTCAAAAATTTAAGAGTGACCAGCACAGAATATGAGAAAACTCATATTCCTAAAGCCTTAAAACATATGAATAAACACTTGCCATAATAATTATAATAACATTCATATAGAATGAATCTCCTGTAATCAAGATATAAGGCCATTAGTAGAACTTTGCAAATAATTCGCAGGCACGACACAAAATAAGGACCTCTCCTCAACAACAATACAAACACATATTCATATACTTAAAATAATAAATATAGGCAAGGGCCTGCCTGTCGATTGTGTGGAGGATCTAAAACCCATAAATAAATAATTACATAAATGTAACTTAGTTTTACATCAATTAGCAGTTGTCTTAAGCTTTGATCAGTAATGAGAATTAGTTAAAGGTGCAAGGTTAGCAGTGCCATGATGCCATCTAAGGACAAAATAAATTTTAGTAGTGAATAGCATCCCGTTAATAAGAAAAAGATAAAACAAATCCTAAAATAATAACTTATATAAATACAACAAGATAACTAACCAATTTACGATTTCTTTTTCTAAAAAAATCATTAAAACATGGAATATATATAATTATAAAACATTTTCAATATACAAAAATTTACAAGGTATTTTAACAACATTTTTCTGAAACCAAATCACGGATAGTGTTGAAAAACATTTTTCAATGGAGGACTTCAATAGAACAAACAAGCATGGACACACAATCCACGAGAGTAAGTAACCAACAAGCGCGGTTGGAGCCATGAGCACAAGTATAGCTAAAGCTACGAAACAATCGTGGGAACAATACCCACGAGTATCAAGCGAGCTTGATATTTAACATGGCGCACCAATACAAGCACAGCTGTAGCCATTAATAACAAGTGCAGGAACAATGCTCACGAATGACAAGCACGGCTAAAACCACGAATAACAAGTGAGCTCGATATTACCATGGCACGTCAAGGGCTAACAATATTGCTGTTAATAACCAGCGTTCTGTATTCAGTTCTCACAAAAATCATTTTCAAGCATGCATGGGGCCAATTATCATCAATAAACAAGAATCTTTTCTATCATTGAATATATGTGGAAAGAATATTTTATAACAAAAGACCCCAGCATGAAAGTTCACAAAATCTCAAATATTTTCCTCAAATTCCATCAACGAACAAAAATCATCTTTTCGAGTGATAATAACTCAAGCAAGAGCATTTCAAGATGAAAAAAAAAAAATTTACAATATAGAACAAATAGAAACGATTAGTGGTACAAACAAAATGAGGTTGTTTTGATGAAACAATACTTGAAAAATATTAGGTAACCAGATAACAATAAAACAAATAAGAAAATATCATTTATAAAAACCTATTTATGGGATGCTATTCACACTTTCATTATACTTCAAGATAATCCTTATTCTTTACTCTTACAATCGTGAACAATAATATGCCGCATAAGCCCTTTAGCACGATGATTTTGGCAGCCAAGATACACCATCTTAATCCTCAATTTGCAACAATTTAATATAGTAAGAGAACTTGAATCTTAACCTTTCTTTTTCTTTTTCTTTTTCTGCAAGTACTAAAGTTACAAATTCGAATAATGATTGAGTTTTATCACCCTTGAATATTAGCTAAGTAACCGAATGACCCGAGTTTGAAATATAACATCTTCTACTTTCCCTTTCGGCGAAGCATTTTGTCAGCCATGAGTGTCCCATCATCCCCTTCATGAACTTGAACGTTAATTAAGTTTCTTTCGCCCTTCTATGGCATAAGCCTTAGCTTTCTGGCAAATTTTACTAGCCTCCCAATCCAATTCTTCTCGTGAACATTTAACAAACATTTCAAGTGCATTCCACAATTCAACTCCTAACCCTCGGACAAACCTGAAACTTAAACCAATTCAATTCATACATTCTTTTATCAACCAAAACGCTCTATTATTATATAGAATACTTGCCTCTGGTTCAATTTAGTACACACTCTTCACCGTTATACCTCACAATAAATCATTTCTATCCACCACACAATTCGTCAAACACCTTGGGCGCATGCATTTAGTACAAAATTAAATGAAAACATGGCAGTCCGTAAATAATCAATCACGCAAATCTCAACTAACCCATCAACCTCAAAATTTTCTGCCTCAATTCATTAACCAGACCCAACTTGCAACGGAGAGAAATCATGATTTGAAAAGAAACCAAGACATGCCAAGGATATCTACCTACTTCAATCGGACACCCCCACCACCATCTTCCATTAACCGTATTCCCAATTCCTTGCTTAAACCACGCGGATAGCATGTACCACCATGAGATACAAAACACAAAAATGAAGGAGACGAGTTGATGATGCAGAAAGGAGGAAGAGGCAGCAATCAAGGGAGATGAAGGATGGGTGAAAGAAAGGCGAGGAGGACATCGCAACGGATGGCAACCTTGTATGTAGATCGCCGGTGAATTTTGCATCTTGCAAACCCCCCCTGGTTCCAGAAATTTCTTTGCCCTTTTCCTCCTCCTTCTCCGGTTTCTCATCCCCTGCTAGCTGAAACCAAAGCCCAGTGAAAATAATAGTTATAACATCCTCCCAAGCAGGCTGCAAAAGTGACGCCACTTCCCTTCAAATTGGGCCCAAAATGGGCTCTTATCACTCTTTTATCTCAGACTCTATTTTGGTGTTCTCCTTGCTCAACTTGGAAATAAATTCCATATTTAGTTGTTTGGTAAATTCCTAATCAGGAAAATTGTCATATTTCTTTCTTTTTTAAAAAACCCTTTCATATGATAATTCTTCTTACATTTATTGGATTCAATATGGCCGCATATAACTTCAATTTTTTTTTGGGAAAAGTAATAATAATAATAATAATCTTTTCTAAGCCCAAAAATTAATTTGAACTTAGAACTTCCATTTATTGGAAGTAACTATTCCCGTTAATTCACTCCAATCCTCAAATAATTATTCCCCACATTTTCTAATTATTTAAGGCCTTTAAATAATTTAAATTATGTAATTTTGGTTGGAAAAAGCCCAAATATAGGCTCCTCCTATTGTTGGGCTACAATAATTAGAAAAAATTACTAACCAACCTTTCATACGTATACATTAGGGCTATGACATATGTAATGAACATAATGGTTAAAAGGAACCGTACTTTTTCTTTGCCAAGAAATAGAACCACATATGATGAAGTTGCTCATTTGACATTAAACTCTGCAGTGATTCACAAAACATCTCACTCAATATGGATTAGGGAACTTCGTAACAACTGACAAGTGACCTAGCTTTCATCTTACATCAAAACATAAAGAGAAAGAAATATAAACAAAACAAGAGAGTAACGTAGAAGATCGAGCAGATCCAGTCTTGCTTGCTCATAATTCACCATCCCAAAATAGTCGAAACCTCGCCACCAATATTATTTTTTCTGCAACTTTCTCCACCCATCTACGTAATCAAGCAAATTCATCACAAATTCTTAAATTATATGAAGTACATATAGGCTTAGATATAATTCACATGTGTCACATGTTAACAGCAATGCACTAATTTGTTACAATGTGCTTACTCTTCAACTAGCATGAAGGGTTGCATTATATAGCAGTTGTATGTTCACACGAGATTGAGAGAAACAAATGTAACATTAAGAAATTTGTTTGAACAAAAATATAAAAAAAACTTTGAACTTATCATCATAGTAAATAGTTCTCAAGCTTGATCATATATTGCAATGCACAAAAATAATCCAGCGAATGAATAATCTTATTATCTAGGTATCATAATTATATAGTAAAAAAAGTGCTTGCCTGTTAGTCTTTGTGGAATCTTCTCTCTATCTTTGCCTTCAAAATAGCAACTTGAACATAAATCCAGTTGTACATGTTTTCAAAGAAGTGACAAAAGGAATGCCGCCAAGACTTTTTAAGAATTAAAGTCCCACAAACTCCCCAAAACCCAGTAATGAAACCAAGAGCCATGCTCACATAAAACGCAAAGCTTATGAGATTATCATCTCCATCTGTATCAATGTCATGTGCATTGGGATTCAGATCTGAACTCCCATCTCCTGGACATCTCTCTGTAAGTGGGGGGCCACAAAGCCCCTGGTTTCTTGTATAACTAGAGGCATTAAAGGATTGAAGTTGGGTGCCAGTTGGAATTTTTCCTGATGAATTGTTGAAGGCCAAGTTCAATATACTAAGAAAACTCAAACTTGAGAAGCTGATAGGAATTTCACCAGAAAGAGAGTTGTATGACAAATCAAGTGATTCTGACTTTTCCATTTGACCCATCTCAATGGGAATGGATCCTTTCAAATGATTTCTAGACAAGTTTAGGGAAGCCAATGCCACAAGTGCAGCTATGCTATTTGGGATTTCTCTTGTTAAGTGATTGCAAGAGAGATCAATGGTTTTCATGAATCGAAGATTCTTACTGTACTCAACATATTCTCCTTTCCATGCCAATGTTGCTTTGTCCGTAAAGGATGATGTAGTAAAGCTTCCAAGAATATCATAAGAAATTCCTTGGCTTATGGATGTCATATTTGACATAGCATTCAAATTACCAAAGCAATGAGGTATATTTCCTGTTATGTAATTTTTTGAGAGATCTAAGATTTGAAGATGTGGCAAATTACACAAATTTGTAGGAATGCTTCCGTGAAGCCTATTTGCTTGCAAACGTAAGCCAACCAAATTGTGCAAGTACTGCCCTGTCCATGATGGCAATTTTCCAGTCAAATTATTCTGTCCGAAATCAATGAACTGCAAGTACGAAGAATTCATTGAAGATGGCAAATTCCCAGAGAGATTATTGTTATTCAGATGGATAATTTGAAGATTGTTCAAAGTACCAATTGAATTTGGTATTGCCCCGTAGAAATGATTGTTTTCCAATCTCAGAACGGCCAAGTAAGGAAGTTGTCCCCAACAGTCAGGAAGTTTTCCCGACAAAAAGTTGCATGAAATATCAAGCTGATATACACTTCCTTGAGCAGTTGCACAGATGAAAGATAAAGTTCCTGAAAACATACTGTTTGAGAGGACCAACGCCATTGCACTTGTTGGTAAATCTGGTATGGGACTGGACAGATTGTTGAAGCTCAAATCCAAAACATAATGATAAAATTTCAAGATTGATTTTGGTAATTCCCCATAAAGTTTGTTATGGGAAAGATTCAAGTAGTTGAAAGAAGATAGCCAAAGCCATTGAGGAATTGAATCAGAAATTGACGCATCAGAAATGTCCAACGCGTGAAGCTCCCTTTGATACTTCAACCAGCTGAGAAAGTGGCCACCAAAGTTACACGATGCTGCTATAAAGTCCTGCAATTGAAAAGGTGGCACCCAATGCGAACTGAAGTTGAAAAAAATCGTATTTTGCGACACACCTAAAACTGTCAAGTTAAGAGAGTTGAAATATGTGTTTCATTAATGACAGAATTCAACCTATTGTTTCACAGATCTAAGTACTCCAACGATGCAAGTCCAGCAAACGTCGGCAATGACCCTGTTAAATTGTTATAACTCAAATACAATTTGGAAAGGTGAGCTAAGTGCCCAAATGATTGTGGAATTGACCCATGAAGACTAGTGTTCTTAAGACTTAAAGTCACCAGATTTGAAAATCTTGAAAAATCGGGAAATGGTCCGCTTTTAAAAGGATTGTCACTAAGGTCGAGAGTTTGCAAATTGGATAGATTTTGCAGTCCACGGGGAATAGTGCCACCAATTGAAGCACCCGAAATAGTTAACTCTCTTAGTTGACCAAGTGAGCCAATGCATTCTGGAATTTTGCTCCCTTCGAAATTGTTTCCATCGAGATACAAGTAAGTTAGATGCCGCAAATCACATAATGAGGAATCGATATTACCTCTCAATTCCTCGGAATCACCATAATGGACAAGATCGAGCTTGATAACATGACCAGTCAAATTACTGCATACTACTCCATTCCACTCACAGCAATCAGCTTCACTTTTCCAGGTGGACAACCTGCCGCCCCCATCAACGAAACCATCTTTTAATTTGAGAAGAGCTTCCTTATCTGTCACTGCGCAACTGATGTTTATATTGGAACATCCTGCACACCAAAAGAGATATAAAACTCGAACAAGCCAAAAGAAATTGAACTTAGAGCTGAACATGATGATGAACTTGCTTGGTATTCTTTTCATTTGGATATAGTAAGAACAGGGAAGTCGCCTTGTGGATTTGGAGTTAATGATCCTTGGGCCATTTACAAGCAAACAATTCACCATGTTTTTCAAATAATTTTATTACAGACGGTAGAATTATTCTCATCAATGTGATAAAAATTAACAATTCCATATATAGATGAAGATTTTTCTTTCGTGAAAAAGCACTATAAAATTCTTATTTAAAGTAAAAACAATTGACGATAAAAACATTCTTATCATTTAATTAATTTGATAAGTCTAAATTTTCTATTAATAAAGCAAATTGTTTGAGTCAGCTGATGAAAATTTATTTGAAATAATTATTTAATTTATAACTTCAAATTAATTAATCAATAGTTAACATTAATTAATAACTCTCATTTGAGGCATTCTGGTCATGAGAGGTGTCTAAAAGTGATAAAAAGAAAAGGTTGTCGTTGCATGCACGATTGATTTGTGTCGTTAATTTTGAACAACGTAAGTGACACACTCATCTAACATCACCATCATTTGTGGAAATTATCGTTGACGATTATGTTGTTGGAAATTTTTGTTCATGCTGTCTCCTTTTTCTTTCTTCAATGGATGAATATATAGATTAAACTTCAACCAAGATCAACGTACAAAATACAAATCATGCCAAATTTCTTTTAATTTTATTGAAATTAATATTAATTTTATCTATCTGAGGCTCATGGCTTCAATAAAATTTTAAATTATTCATCAGCATATATCATTTTTATTTATTCATAATTTTCTCTCAACATATTATTGTTTCAACCATGACTTTCAACCAAAAACAATTTAATGTAGAGACTCGAAGTATGGATCAGAGGAAATTTTTTCCTCTGATCCATACTTCGAGTCTCTACATTAAATTGTTTTTGGTTGAAACAATAATATGATGAACGGGAACTGGGATATATGTGTGTGTGTGTGTGTATAAATGGCTTGCAAAATAATTAAAATGGTGGGATATGAGAGTAACTTCAAAATCAACTCCAACAAGTGATGATGGGATAATCTTAATATCAATTAATTCATTAATAAACTAGGGTTTGGGTGATAACACCATTGGGTCATACTGATGTGTGATTGGTCCGACCCGAATATCAATATATTAAAATATGAGTCACTGCTGAATTTCTTTCAATTTTATTGAAATTAATATACCTGCATCATTTTCATTGGTTGAGGAATATGCGGATACCGAGCTCGTTTGACTGACTTGTGTCATTAATTTCCCACGACGTAATTGACAATCCATGAATTTATTCATTACCGTCACCATTATTTGTTAAAAAGATCGCTGATGAATATGTAGTTGGAAATTTTATTCATAGCATATAAGAAGGTTGATTTCCTTTTTTCCTTTGCCCCTTCTTCCTCTGTAGATTAATATACCCATCAAGCTTGAACCAAGATTCATGTATAAAATATAAAGCACACTGAATTTCTTTTAATGTAATTGAAAATTAGTATTAGTTTTACCTAGCAAAGTCTCGTGCCTTCAGTCATTCACATGTATCATTATTTTTGAAGATGATGAATTCAAGCGTACCTGGAGTATATGATAATCTCAGATAGCCAGTCTAGTTACGGTATTGAACTCGGATTTGGAGACATAACAAACGCACACTGGTAGAGGAGGAAGAGTGAATGGGAGGGAGGAGTTGAAAAAAATGATGCACCCCCAACTGATCCGTGCGGTAGTTTATTAACTTCAATTTTTGACAACAAAAACTGCCTCCTCACGGTTTAACCGTTCCCTCCCTGTTTTTGTGTAATTTATGTAAAATGGTGAAACTCACAATTAAAGACCCAAATTTCCTGTTATTTGCATCAAAGTCCCAATATAAACGGGTTTGGGTCCAATCCACCAAGGGTGGACTGACCCATTTTCCTACAGAAGATATAGGGAAAATCTTTCCATGATTTTCGAGATGGCTAACAATATGGAAATTTGAAAACCTAAGTGACACTCCTTGAATTGATCATCACATCACCGTCATTTATGGACATTATTATTGATGATTATATGGTTGAAAATTTTTGTTCATGCCGTATAAGAACAATAAGAACTCCTTTAATTTTATGGACCCCCATAAACACGGCTTTGACTGATCAGAATTAGAATAAGATGTATTAATGTCAGTTTGATTGGTTGAGGAAGATATATATTCCGAGCTCGTTTGACTTAAAGGTCAAAAAACCGAAAAGACTTAGAACTCAGAAAATGATATTAAATCACTAATATAAAGCCTAATTGAGTAATTTGAAGAGATTAAATAACTTAATTTAAAGTATTTATATTTATTATTTTTCTAAACTAATTTGTCTGACTTATAAACTGACATTTAATATAATAACACATAAATATTTTATAAAGATTATGTAATATATAATATAATTAAGTAATTAGTGGATGTGATGTAAAAATTCATGTGATACATTTCATTAGGTCCCATCAATAATTTTGCAACGTAACGTTTCAAACTCTCTGAACACGGCTTTGACTAATCTGCAGGATTAGGATAACATGCGTTGGAAGAACTTTCCATGACTTTCCAGATTTCTAAAACCGGAAATGGCAATATCAACTACTTTTATTCTTCTTCTTTTAATTTTTATCTTTTGAAAAATTATGAGCTTGGATTTTGTTGTCTAGGCCGTATGAGAAGAGGACCGTCCCATTTTGTTGTCATTTGCTTATCAATTGTTGTCAAAACCAATACTGATATTGTAATAGGGTCCCTTTTTACAATTTTTCTATTTTTAATGTCTATTTTTGCGATTTTTCCGAACAATAATATGATAAATGGGAACTGGAGTATGGCTTGCAAAGTAATTGAAATGCCGGGGAATGAAATTAACTTCAAATAAACTTGAGCTAGTGATGATGATGAGATAACGATAATAATATTGACGACTGGGGTTATAAATGTGGAAAATTTGCTGAGAAGTGTCTATTGGAAGTATTTTGTTACCTAGAAGTACGTGAAATTTGTTGAAGGAACCCAGTACAACTCATTTTAGCAAATACTCCCTCCGTCCTTTTTTACAAGTAACAACTATTATTTTCCTTTTATAAGTCCATAAATATAAGTAACATTTGTGAGTTGTATTAAATTTTTGTGGCAAATTTCCTATTTTACCCTCATTAATTATTTATTTTAATGCTTACTATATTTATTATCTTATTTTTCAAACTATCATCTCTCTCCATCACACATTCTCTTTCTTTCATAACTTTCTTTATTATAATAATTTGGAATAATTAATCTTCAGGTTCTTATAGTTTTATCTGATTTTTAATCATGTTCCTATAAATTTTTTTCTTTTTATCATATCATTTTACTTTCACGTGTTTTTAATTAGGCCCTTTTTTTTTCCCTCTTTTTATTAGGTCCTTATAGTTTTACTTATTTTTTAATTAGGTCCTTTTTAGTTTTAAAAAAATTATTTATTAACTTTATTCTTTAAAATTAATTTTATTTTTAAATTAATATTGGACAAAATAATTAATATAATCATTAAGTAATTAATAATTAATCAGAATAATCAATTATACTTGACTATAAATTCTTTATAATTATATTCTAATTTTAGAAAATTTTATTATTATAATTGGAATTTTATAATTATAAAAATTAGAATTAAAAAATAATATATACTTTTTACTAAAGATTTAAAACAATATTAACATAAGATTATTATAATAATTTATTATTTATAGAATAAAGAATAAAAACTACAAGGACCTAATAAAAAATAATGTAAAACAATAAGGACTTGATAAAAAGAAAAAAGTTATAAGGACCTGATTAAAAATATATGAAATTATAAGAACCTGATAAAAGGGAAAAAAAATTATAAGGACATAATTAAAAACCAGTTGAAACTATTAACTATCCCTAATAATTTTCTTGTTCTCTTTTTATACTCTCTCTCCACCCATAAATAAGGGTATTTTGGAGACAAAACTTTTAATTTCTACCTATTTATTGTCTTTAACTAACTTTTTGATTTACATAAAGAAATCCAAGGTTGCTTATAAAAAGGGAAAGAGGGAGTACAACGTAACTATTCTTCAATTATGTACAACCTATCTACAACTCAAACCAGCTTAATACAATTTTTCTATAATTAATTATGAATTTTTAAAGTTAGATTAAAAAACTGGAATTACCAGATAAATGGTAACCCAAGACTGGAATTACTAGATAAATAGTAACCCAAGAATTAAAATATAAATTTTTAATCTATTGGTTTAATTTACGTACATACTAAATGGGGTAAATTTCAATACTCCTTGATTTACCACATCATTCTCACCATAATTTGTGAAAATTATCATTGAGGATTATGTAGTTGTAAATTTTTATTCACGCCGTTCATTTCCTTTCTTCTTCTTCCTTATTTGAACCAACTGATGAAAGATTATTTGAAATAATATTACCTTCTAACTTAAAATCAATCAATCGTTAACTACAATCATTCTCATTTAAGGCATTCTGGTCATGAATGTGTCTAGAAAAGTAGAAATAAGAGGCTGTTGTGGTTGAATAACAGATTTATGTGACTAATTTCTAACAACGTAAATAACACTCCTTAAATTTATTATCACCATCACCATCATTTGGGAAATTACTGTATTATTATCGAGGATGATGTGGTTGGAACATCTTGTTCATGAAGTGTGAGAAGGTTCGTCTCCTGTTTTCTTCGTCAATAGACCTATTGCTTATAAAATGTAAATCACGCCGAGTTTCTTTTAATTTTATTGTAATTAAAATTAATTTAATTGATCTGAGTCTCATGCCTTTAATAAAACTAAAAGTAATCATCCGCATATATCATTATTGTTTTATTCTAGTGAAATACGAGGATCATACTTCATTAT